GTTTTCGATTGCTGTGAAACAAATTACCACAAACCTAGTGGCTCAAAACAGTACCCACATAGGAGCTTGCAGCATTGGAGGTCAGAAGTCCACTCATGTGGCTCTGCAGGGCTGACTGGCTGAAGCAAAGTTGTCAGCTAGGCTGAATTCGCCTCAGGAGGCTGGGGGAAGGGAGGGATCTGTTCCCAAGCTCATTCCTGTTGTTAGCCGAATTCAGTTCCTTGTGGTTGTAGGACTGAAGTCCCTGCTTCCTTGCCGGCTGTCAGCTGGGGGCCAATCTTAGCTCCTAAAGATCCCTTACCTCCCTTGCCATGTGGCCCCCTCCAACTCCAAGTCAGCAAATCCTTATCCTGCTTTGTATCTTTGACTTCCTCAACTTCAACCAGCTGGAGAAAACTCTCTGCTTTTAAAGGGCTCATGCGACGAGGTCAATCTCCCTATCCCAAGATCAGCTGCCCTTATGGGAGCACCTGGATGGGCATTTGATTGAAAACTCAGGAGAAGGTATGTGTACGTCAGGGCCTCGGGGCTGAGAATCCAGGGGACCACCTTGGAATTCTGTCTGCCACAGCCACCTACTTCTAGGGAAGTTGTGAGGCCTAAGTTAGCCAGTGTAGGTAAAGTACGTAGCACATACCCAGCATGTTTCCAGTAGAGATTTGCAAGCACAGGAATAGCCAGCTGAGTTCCCGGGATTGGTGAGAACTCGGTTGGGGTGAGAGGAGAGGGTAAGGGGTTGGGAGCAATGGGACAGCTGAAGAACGCCCTCCAGTTCTCCGAGGAGGGGCTTCATGTCGATATATTTGGAAACAGGAAGTGCCTCTCCTCCTTGGATGGACAGCGCTGAGACCCTCCCTGGCTTTGCTGCGCTAATAATGGCGGTGAGCCGGGCTGCGGGATGCAGAAGGGGCATCTGGACTGCCTCTCTCGGAAACCATCTGCTCAGAGATTTTGACTTTCGGAAGAGTGAAGACGTTTCCTCCGGCTGTAGGTCCAGGGATCCAGAAACCACTCACATCATAGCTTTCCCCAAACCAGCCGAGAGAAGACCTAATTGAGGGAAGTGGGAAACAGAAGTCGGATCCCCACTCGCTCTGCTAACCGCACACAGGACGTGGCCGAGGCCCAGCTCAAGTTGAAGAGGCCGTTTCCTTTCTTGGCCTGGCATCCCAGGCGGAGAATCAGACGATGGTCCCAGGCCCTGCTGACCCCGGGGGAAGGCCAGTGGCCACCACCCATGAGAAAGAACCCGGACTTTTACCCGCTCTGTGGGTGGAGCTGCCTGCTCCCAGTAAATCTACGTTCCCTGTGGTCTGGGGCCAGCGTGAGGTAAGCAGGAAAGAGATTTTAAAAAAAAAAAAAAAATGTGGCGGCGAGAATCAAACGCTTGCGTTTTTCATTCCTCAGATGCCATGGTGGGAAGCAGCTTTCCTTTCAAAACTGCCTGGATTAGACAATTCTCCTTTCCAGCTGGTGCTCTGCCCTCTCTCTTGGCTCTTTCTCCCCCCTCCCTCCTAGATCCGCCTCGGCTTCTGGATCTTCTCAAAGCTCGCCCCACCCCACCCCCCTACCCCCCAGAAAACTTGGGTCAATGTACTCCCCTTGAACAACTGTCATTTTTGAAAAGCTGCCCAGTCTCCCTGCTGTGATTTTCAAAGAGAGACTCAGGGTTGCTCTCTCTCAGTGACAGCAAGGAGACAGGAGGAAAGGGACCATCAGGAGCTTCTGACGGTGGGAAGAACACAGGCGTCTGCACACCCTCCTGACCGCCTGAGAGGTGCGGGATCGATCGTTGCAGGAGCCTGTACCTTTCCTGATGCCCGAGGAAGATGTCAAGAAAGAAAAGCAGAGAGAAGAAAACTCATGTTTGTGTCGCAGCTGCGGGAGTTTTCACACCAGTGAGGCGTGACCCGGTTTGACCTTGCCTGTCAAGACCAGAGGAATCCAGAGGAGCCAACCAAAGACATGTGGGCGAGAGGCCAGGCCACGCGGCCCGTGTTCTGACATGTCAGAGGACGGATGTCTTCCGGTCGGGCAGCTTGTGGGCAGGGGAGAAATCGGAAGCGCAGCCTCTAGGAGGCCAGGATAGTAACAACCTGAACAGCAGTTACCTGCGCCCCAGGTAGGCCCTGCCTCCCATCACCACTTAGAAAGCGAAAGGCTTCGTCTGGCTGGTGGGTCCGTGGCCCGAAACTGTGAGGACTGCCTTTCCCTTGCTCCCTGTGCTGCTCTCTCCTCTTCACTACGCAAGACGGGTGTCAGCATGCCTGATGGAGGCTGGCTCGCTCGCTCTCCGTGATCAGTGGCAGAAACACTCCCCCGGATTACATTTTAACCTGGACGGTGCCGCGTCTAGTTACATTTTGAGGAGGAAAGAGAGGAAGGGGAGGGAAGAACAGCGGGTCCCGGAGGTTTGCAGAAAGCCTGTCGGACAGCACATGCATAGCCCACCCCACACAGCACGTCCTTTACACTTCAACGCCACTAATCACTGACACCCAAGTGAGCAAATATTGATTGAGCGCCTACGACATCCAAATCAATGTCTAAGCTCCGTCTTCCACGCTGTGAAATCCAAAAGGAGTGTCCTGGGGGAAAAGAAGGGCCAGTCCTATCTCCCGGTGGCCATGAGCTCAAGTTATAGAAAGATAACTTCCGGCTTCATACCACTGCTTATTAGCGTGATGGTTTAAAGAAAAAATCACTCACTCAGACTAATGGCCTCTCCCGCAAGCGGAGGAGAATGATGACTTGGCTTCTTTCACTACCCGCGCCTCTCCTGGGTTGGCAGATGGTTTGCTGATGCAACCCTTTTGGGTAGCAGTTCGTGCAGGTAATTATTGGCAGGGCAGCCTTCACCCAAGTCTGTTAACCCGGGTGTTCAAATAGTGGCTGGGTTGTGGCTCCAAATAAGGAGGGTTTTAAACAATGAGCGAGGCCATTCACTGTTTCTCCCTTTGCTGTCCATTCTCATTATTTGCACTGTGCTCTGGAGCCTTCCCCCGCCCTCCTAGTGGTCACAGCACTCTCTCCCTTAAGGTAATGAGTGACTCTCTCACCACTGAGCTCTGAGCGTGATTCTAATGAACTCCGCGGAATCTTCCACGTTCCACCTGCAACCCTGATACACACAACAAGGCATGTGCTTACTAACATCCCCCCACTGGCGTCGACAATACGGTTTGGGAGCAGGTAGTGTGTTCCCTGCCTTGGAGGTCCAGCTTCCCTGGGCCCCCCTGCAGCTGACCAGCCTGCTCCGGCCCACAAATCTCACTTGTGACCTCCAGCAGTCGAAGGAAGTGATGACTAAATATCACAACTGTCACGTTCAACCAACCACACAAAACGGCTCCATTTCTGTTAATACAGCAAGGCCACCAGCCCTCCTTCCCCCCAGCCCCGCCCTCTGGCTTCTGGTGGAAAGTCGCCGTTGGACTCCAGTTAAATGACCAAGATCATTTCTGATCAGGAAATGCACTTCTGTGAAGTCGGCGGCGTAGAAACCAAGCTCAGTGGCGACTGTCGGACAGATTGGTGAGAAAGACTTTCGCTTTTCTGCCAAAACATTCAGGACCAAAGTAACATGGGGAAGTTTCAGGCCACAGCGCTGTGACTAAGTGAATGCTGATCTACATTTACAAAAGCAAGTGACTGCCCGCAGTTCCTCATTCTTAACTGGGCAGCAGACATGTAGATAATTTCCTAAGGGCCACCTTTCCTAGTTCACTGAGCCAGACTCCATGTTATTGGCGCAATAAAAGTAATGTCCAAAGGGACTGTCTGAGAAGCAATCACAAATTGCTTTTTTTTTTTTTTTTTTGCACACAATTAGGGATGGAATTGAGAACCACTTTCTTTCTAATAGAAAATCAGCAGCCACAGAGTTGTAATTGAAATTCACCACGGTGATTTCGGCCAATAACTCTCTTTTTAATTTCTGGAGGGCTCCCTCCCCCCCGGCAGTCTCAGCACTCCAGAATAATGAGCAAACATTAAGGGGGCTGGCACTGCGATTTATGGTGTCCCCATGCTCCCCCCCCCCACACACACACCCCCCACGCTCCGGAGGGAATGTTTACCCCACGACATCTCATCCTGCAATCTCTTGCATTAAGAAAATTGATGGGTGTGGTTCGAAAGTGAACCGTGGATGTGAGTGATATTCAGACAAGTCTGTACTTCAAAACCGACAGCTTCCGCCATGAACCGGGGATCTCAGCACTGACCACTTCATCTTCTCCAAAACCGCCCCTCCCCGCGCTTTTACAAAAACATCCTTCCTAGTTTTACCCTAAATATGTTTGGGATCTTATTCCTTTATCTTTTGCTTCGCGTTTAAAAAACACTCCCAGGTCGATTTTTATTTCCTCTGTGAAAGCATCAAGCCTCAGATCCAAGTCAACCCAAATCCCCAGGACACGAACGCTGCCGCTGCCTTCGGGGTGTGACACCAGAAAGGGGCAAACCAGCTTTTAAATAAAACGGAGCGGCGACCTTATCGGGGAACTGCGGGTTTACCCCCTGCCCCGCTGACCTCCGGCGGGGGGCGGCGCGGGGAGGGGAAGAGCTGGTTTTCGGGGAGCAGCCTGGCTGTCTGGGCGGCGGCCAGGTCCGCCGAGCGCAGAGCGCTGAATTCCAACCAGCCCGGGAGCGCTCTGCTGGGAAACCTCATTCTGGAAAACCGGAGTCCAACGGCGACTTTCCACCAGAAGCCAGAGGGCGGAAATGACCCCGGGGACCGAGGCTGGGCCAAGGAGTGAGCCAGAGGAGCTCACGGGGGAGGGGCTGGGGACATTTCTTGGCTGTGCTGCTGCCTAGAAACTTTTTCTTGCCCTGAGACCAACTTGAGGCTGAACTCTGAGGTCTGCAACAGCTGGTGGGGTCTGGGTGGGGAACACACTTGGGGCCCGGGGCCAGGGCGCGTGGGCTGGGCGAGGCCGCCCGGGCGGGGGCCGGGGGCGCGGGGAGGCCGGGCCGGGGTTGGGGGGGGGGGTCCTCACCTGTTCCAGCGGGCCACCTTCCTCCGGTAATAGCGCAGCGCCTCCTGGCCGGCCAGGAGCAAGTCTTCCGGCCCGAGGACCGGCGGCTCCTCCGGGACGTTGTACAGCGGGTGGGCGAAGAGGGCCTGCAGCTTGGAGCCGGGGCCACTGCGGCCTCCGCGGTCCCGCTCTGGCCCCGGCCGGGCTCGGGAGAAGTTGTGCGCGGCCGTGCGGGGGGCCGAGGCGGGGGCCGGGGCCGGGGCGCGGCGCGCGCACGGGCAGCTCCGCGGGCGCTCGCGGGGCCGCAGCTGGCGCTGCACCTGGGGCCACAGGTGAAAGTAGAGGTCGGCGGAGAGCAGCGCGCCCAGCAGCAGCAGGGTCAGCAGGCGGTCCCGGCGCAGCCCGGGCATGGCCCCGCCGGGCGCGCGGGCGGCTCCGGGGACCGGGAGGGGCGCTGGGCGCAGAGGGCCGGTCGGGGTCGATGGGGCCGGCGAGCTCGCCGCGCGGGGTAACTCCGCTGGTGAGGGGCGTCGCCCTTGAACTTGAGAGCTGGGCGCGGGGACCGCGGGGTCTCGCGGTGTCGGCGGGCGTTCCTTCTCTGCGCGGAGTGGAGACCAGGGGATGGTGCCTCCCGGGTCACTGTGTCTCGCCCCTTCTCTCCCCGCACCCGCCCGCCCAGGAGCGCGCGGCAGGTGAAGGGCCGCGGGCGCCGGCGTGGCTGTCCCCGCGGACGGGCGGACGGCGGGGCGCGGGCGGCGCGCTCGCCTCTAGGAGGAGCCAGGCGACCGCGGAGCCGGGGGCGTCTCTCCAGAGGATGCTGTCGCCGGCGGCGGCTGCGACTGCTCCCGCGGCTCCTTCTGCCGGCGGCGGGGACGCCCGTGCGCCCGGCTCCAACGGGCGAGCTGGTCTGCGCGCCCGACTCCTAGAGGCGGAGGGAGCGCCGGCCTCCCCCGCCTGGCCGGGCGCCGGCACCTCCGCCCGCTCTGCGCTGGCACCTGCCCCTGGCGCAGCTCGCAGCGACTCCGATCCCTCCGCCGGCTCTGCCCTTCCACCTGGTCACCCCACCCTCTCCTCGCGCCCATCCCCCTCGCCCCAGGCCTTCCACTCTCCCAGCCCAGGGTCTGCCCGGCCTTTGGGGGACTCAAGTGGTGCGTGTGTAAAACCTTTTCTTTTCTTTCTTTCTTTCTTTCTTTTTTTTTTTTTTTTAAAGAAGAACGACAGCTCCCTGGAAGCCTTTCTCCTGTAAGAGTGGCCAGATGTGTGTGTTGTCGTTTCTCTGTTTCTTCCCACAGAGCGCACGCTGCATCCAGGACAACTTATGCGTCGCGTGCGCGGCACCAAATAGGTGCCCAGGAAACCCCCGCTTCGTGAACGAGAAAGTTGGGCTTTTAAAAAGAAGGCACCACGTTGAACCTAGAACCTTGGTGATTTCCTGTTTGGGTGGAGTTTGATTCCAACGGGGCCTGAGCTTTACAAAGAGGAATTTTCCTGGCGCTCCGGGAGGGAGCGGCCCCCACTCTGAACTTTTGCCCTGAGCCGGGTGTGAAAGGAGTCCACCCAAGTGAATCCCCGGAGGACACAAGGTCGGCGCTCTCCCGAGATCCTGCGGGGGAACTGATACTCCCCACCCCACGTTCCCTTTGAGAAAGAGGGAGGCGGAGAGGGAACGCAGGCCTGAACTCCTGGCTCCTCCGCATAATGACCTGATGGGAGAAGGAAGGCTGTTTCACTGAAGAGGCGCCCCACCCTCTTGAATGTTCAGGAAAATACATCTCTGTCTTGCGCTGCTTGTCCAGGCAGCAAAGCTTCCCATGCACGTTGATCCTCCGCTTTACCTCCTTCCATTGCTGGAGTCAAGACCCCCAGACACACTTTGGTGGGTTCGGATCGGAGTTCTTCCCACCTGTGTGTGGTTTCGTGGGTGATCCTTGCAGCCTTTGCCAGCCCCTCCTCTGTAAATGAAGACAGCCATTGGGCCTTCTCCATGGCGCCATTGTATGGCTTTAAGTGAAGTAAAGTATAGAACCTGCTTAGAACAGCCAGCCCCAGAACAGAGTGCAATGTGTTTGCTAGAAATATACTTTCTTCTTGGTCTCAGGAGCACCCTGGGGTGGGTTCGAGAGGGTTCACGAGTGAGACAAAAATAGCCAAGTGTGGGAAAGGAAGATACCAGAAAAGGACCTTTTCGGGATGATAGGATTGCCGGCTGGGTATGGGGAGGGGCGTTTTTTAGGGTTTCTTGACCCACCTCCTTCTTTTTATCTGGAATTAAACCTTAACTGGTCTCCAGTTTCAGAGAAACGTTTCAGCTTCTGCGTCATGGTCAGTGGATGAAGGAGTCAGACACTGAACCGCGGTACCTGCACGGTAACTGGCGAGCTGGTTTGCATTTTCCCGGCCCAGCAAAGGACACGGGCATGAAAGCATCACAAGTCTTGTGCCTTCCATTCTCCCCCACCCCTGGGGTCATGCTCCCTGAGTGGACTCTTGTCTGGCCTCAATTCAGGGAGCAATATGCCTAACTCCATGGGAGGTTAACTAAGCACATGTTCCCTGCCCCATAAAGGTCAAGGGCAAAACTATGTGGAAGTCAGATACCAAGTGTGAATGGGGTTGAAGCAGGAGAGCGGCAATGCTGCAGGCAGGATTGGCCAATCAGATGCCCCCTCTTCAGGTTTGTCTACCTCTCCTTTTCCCTCCCAGAATCCAGCCTCTCCCTTCTGCTCCTGCTCCTGCTCCCAATCTCCACATCTCGGCCCCTGGCTTCCCCACCAGCCTCTAGTACATCCCCTCAATTCACACCAGCTTACTCCCAGCTGCTGTCGACTAGGCTCCATCCTTCAGTTTCAAGCCTCTCGTTGCAAACCCATCGCCCCTTTCCATTTCTCCTCCCCTCGAATGTCCCCGGGGCCTCGTGGTTTCTTTCTTAGACTCTTGCAAACAGGCTCCTACCCGGTCTCTGTTACCAATATGGCCCATTTCGGGGCCCACCCTGTGTTTTGACGTCATCAGAACCCTTGCCCGAGTGATCGCTGTAGCATTCGGATACAACCCTGCTGCCCTCATGGCTGAAGAGCCTTCCTAACTTCACCTTGCCTCTGGATTAGCTCGCTCCTGATGTGACTTTTCATGGTCTGGCTTCCGTCTCCTTTGCCAGCCTCGTCTTCCCCTCCCCCCAGTGTTCACCCAGTGATGCTCTCTCATCATTGATGTTTCTATCTCTCTCTCCCTTTCCCTTCCTCTCTGAAATCAATACAAAAGAAAGGAAAATGATCTGAAGGATATATTACAAACTGTTAAAATTTGACTACGTTTTTTTGTTTGTTTTTTTGCTCAAAGTCACTAATCATCCGAGAGTTGCAAATCAAAACGACCACGTTTTATATGACTGGGGGTCATATAAAGCAGAGGTGGGAGGTGAGGCTGGAAAATTTGATCGTAAATGTATGGAGGTTGGTTATATTATTCTCCATACTGTTCTGTATACTTAACAATATCTCATTTAAAATGTCATATGTGTGCCGAAACCGGTTTGGCTCAGTGGATAGAGCGTCGGCCTGCGGACTGAAAGGTCCCAGGTTCGATTCCGGTCGGGGGCGTGTGCCTGGGTTGCGGGCACATCCCCAGTGGGAGGTGTGCAGGAGGCGGCTGGTCGATGTTTCTCTCTCATCGATGTTTCTGACTCTCTATCTCTCTCCCTTCCTCTCCGTAAAAAATCAATAAAATATATTTTAAAAAATGTCATATGTGTAATTGTTGCATTTATTGTGCCTAATTTGGTAATTTTTAAAAAATATTTCCATTTAAGGTATCTGTTTGCAGGTCAGAAAATTGTAATTGTGTAATGCTCTGAAATGTAAAAAAAAAACAAGCTATAAGTAAAATCGACTAAATCCAAAAATAATAAAAAAAAAACTTGATTTACCTTGTGGCCTCATATCCTGGCTTTTGCTATCTTCTTAAAGAGATGGTTGAACCAACGTGTTGAGCTTTGATATTAAGAATAAACAGGTTAATAAAGGTCAGCAGTCAAGAAAGTTGCATCTTTTTTTTTTTTTTTTTAAAGGAGTACAGGATAGAGGGCAAAAAATGTGTGTAAGAATAACCTTGCTTAAATTAGCTATGTTTATATTTTGAATCGGAAGAAATCCATACACTCGTGTAGCTGATTTCAGATCATGTAATTCTTCTAAGCAGCACCCTGTACATTATGTGAGTTTTTATACCAGACTAACAACAGATGTGTTTTCCCTGCTTCAGTTTTTACTCCCTTGACAGCACATCTATTTTCAGAAGGAGGGAAGTTGGGATTTGGGGGGTCTTTAGAAAGCCGTGTCTTAAAGTATTTTAACTGTTGTCTAGCAACTCATAATCCAGTATGTGAGTCCACAACTCGTGGGTGAGACAAACATTAAACAAATGTTACACAAATCAATATCTTGGACGGGCTCAAAGGTCAATGTCAGAACATCAATACGGCGAAAATAAATAGAAATGACTCCAGAAAGCTTTGAAAATTAGAATTGGCTCAATAACCTTGGAGGGGGTGGAGAAGTGAGAATTCCACTAGTGAGGTATGTGATGCCCCTCTACTTTTCTAAACACCCTTCATACAGACCTCTCTCTTCGCAAAGTCCATGCTTTATGGTCTCACCTTCTCCCTTTCTTCCCTCCATGCCCCTCCATGCAACATGCTTGTACCGCTTCTCTTTATTCCATCACTCCCCGATCCCTTCATATGTAGGGCAATCTGCTCTGTTCCTGCTGGCTGCCATTCCCCTCTTCATGTCTTTTTAAATACAAATATAAAAATATATAAATATATATATATATATATGCCTAAGCGACCTGTGAGAGTGATATCCCGGACTGTGAGCAGGCCTAAGCTGGCAGTCGGATATCCCCCAAGGGGTCCTGGACTGTGAGAGGGTGCAGGCCTGGCCGAGGGACCCCCTGCCCCCCAGTGCATGAATTTCATGCACCAGGCCTCTAGAGTGTGTGTGTGTCTCTCTCTCTCTCTCTCTCTCTCTCTCTCTCTCTCTCTCTCTATATATATATATATATATATACATATATATAGATATATAGATATATAGATATATAGATATATAGATATATAGATATATAGATATATAGATATATAAATAATTGATTTCAGAGAGGAAGGGAGAGGAAGATAGAAACTCAATGATGAGAGAGAATCACTGATTGGCTGCCTCCTGCATGCCCCCTACTGGAGATCGAGTGCACAACCTGGGGATGTGCCCTTGACTGGTCTCAAACCCGGGACCCTTCAGTCCACAGGCCAATGCTCTATCCACAGAGCCAAACCAGCTAGGGCCTCCCTCATTTCCTTTTGATTGCTCAGCTCTGCTGAAGAAGGCAACTCTGAGCCGCAGCACGCGTGTGTGGCCAGAGGGCTCGGCTGCCCCTTTCATGATGCATGTGTATTTAGTTATATGAACAATACACAAATATTTCATCTTTGTGTAATACTTGGACACTGTGCAACATTTTAGAGTAAAAAGTGGGACACCCCCCCCTCCCCTTCTCCCTCTCTCAGTTCCTTCCCTAGAGGTAGCCACTGTTGGCTGGTTACAACTCCTTTCAATATATTGTCTAATTGAACAGTTTTCCCTCTACCTTATTAGTAATTAAAGGAATGCAAATGGAAACAATTGAAAGGGATAACTTCTTTCTTATCATATTTTCATTGCTACAAATGAATGAAAATATTCAGAACTGGCTAGGACTTGGGAAGGAATTTGAAATTGGAGCCATGGCTCCGAAAGTTAATTTGGAAACGTAAACACATTTAGATTTGATGTCAGTCAGGGTCAGTCAGGAGATTGAATAGGTGCCAGTTATTTGAATAAGAAAAATTTTATCAAAATAATTGTTGAGGGAAAGTAACAGCTCTAAAAGATCCAGAAGTTAGCACGTGCAAAACGAAGCTATTACTTGTAGGCTGGGAAGTGGACAGTGAGGAATCAAGGACTCAGAGGGTTCCAACACCGCAGCCCAAGGTCGAGATTTAGGCTTCTTTGAGGACCACGTGTCTGCCACTGGGAACCCAGCCAGAGGTGGTGAAGCAACTTTCCACGTAGGAGGCCATGTGCCCATGGGAAGGGGAGACAGATGCCTGAGGCCATGGCCAGAGCTACTGGGGAAACTGCTACCCTGTGTGGGGGAGTGTGGCCCCAGAGGGGGGTTGG